ATGCATATTTTTGTTAAAATTAACAACTCTACAATATTAATTAATTTTGTGACATGGCACTTTCGATAATCCAACATGAATTTTGTCAACTATTTACTTTCTTTATTAACGTTGTAGACTTAATAATTAAAGTTGTATAGTCATTTCTAGTGCTTGTTTGGACAAGCATAAAAAGTAGCTAAAAATTTGAAATCGAAGTTAACAATTAAACTCTTGTTTGGTGGCCATATTTTTGGAAAAACATTATTTTGAATAGTGAATTTTTGGAAAATGTATGATTAAAAAGTGGGAAAAAATTTTGAGTATACATGCAAAATATTTTATTGTGTGAATTTGTGGTTGAAAATAAGTATGTAGAAAAAAAATTTAGAAGAATGAGAATCATGAGATAAACAAGGGCTAATTTTTACCACATTCTTTTTAACTTTTTAATCATATATTTCGTATGTATGAAACAATCCCCTAATCTCGTTTTTAGATGTTGGAAATTTGCTAAAAAAATGGTAAGACTTCTAAAATATGATTTAGGATTTTCATATTTCATATACGGCTAATTAGCACAAAACGTCTTCACATTTCAATGTTATTTGTGCAAAACGTCCTTATCTTTCATTTTTTTGACAATTTCCTCCTCACTTTTACATTTCATTGCAGAAAAGATCATTATATCCACCAACCGTCAAATGCTCTATTAACTTAACAAAAAGGCTAGTTGGCACAAAACATCCCCACTTTTAAATTTATTTTGTGCAAAACGTTCTGCCTTTCGCTTTACAAAGGTATGGATATTTTATGCGGCTTAATTTTAAAGGTATGGATATTTTTCGCAAAGCATATTAGAAAATGGGGTTGTTACATGTAAAACATATTAATAGATAGGAATGATTATCACAAGTTCAATTTCATGCTAAAAAGAAAGAGCAGGTCCAGATCATCTTTTTAACCCTAGACCAAAGACAAAAAAACAACGTCGTTTTGGGATACAATTTCTACAGTAACCTTATCTTCACTTTTAGTTTCTACAGTGATCCACATCTCACTCTTTTAATATATGTAGGATATTTCGTATGTATGAAACAATCCCCTAATCTTGTTTTTAGATGTTGGAATTTTTTTAATGCTAAGACTTTTAAAATATGTTTTGGGATTTTCATATTTCATATACGGCTAATTAGCACAAAACGTCTTCACATTTCAATTTTATTTGTGCAAAACGTCTTTATCTTTCATTTTTTTGACAATTTCATCCTCACTTTTACATTTCATTGCAGAAAAGATCATTATATCCACCAACCGTCAAATGCTCTATTAACTTAACAAAAAGGCTAGTTGGCACAAAACATCCCCACTTTTAAATTTATTTTGTGCAAAACGTTCCGCCTTTCGCTTTACAAAGGTATGGATATTTTATGCGGCTTAATTTTAAAGGTATGGATATTTTTCGCAAAGCATATTAGGAAATGGGGTTGTTACATGTAAAACATATTAATAGATAGGAATGATTATCACAAGTTCAATTTCATGCTAAAAAGAAAAGAGCAGGTCCAGATCATCTTTTCCATTCATATGTGATGGGTCATTCACCATTGAAATCTGATGGAATGATTATTAACAGCATCACATTTGTCATTGTTCTTCTTATTTTACCCTTATTTACATCATTAATAAGAACAAAAAGGGATGAACATCTCCAGGTTATCGACAACATATTCAATCTCTTCGTCTATCGTTTCAAATTTTATGAGTAATCCTGTATTACTACAGCCATTATTCTTCTTAATGTGAAATATAACGTTCTTTACATCATTTTTTATTTATTTAATGGAATAATTGCATAAATTATTTTTATATTACTTTTAATTTTGATCAGTTAACTTTGAAGGCAGGAAGAAGGCCAGTGAAAAATTAGGTGAGACTATATTACCCTTGATTTTTGAAAAGAAAATCGGCATTTTTTTGTTGAGTTATTAGAGTATTTCACGGTGGGTACATGAAATGACTTTTTTCACAATGAAAAGTGAAAATAAGGGTAAAATTGTCAAAAAGAAAACACAAGATAAGAATGTTTTGCACAAAAACATTGAAAAGTGGAGACGTTTTGTATTAATTAGTCTTTTAGATATCATTTACAAGTTCAAAATTATAAAAAAAATGAATCAAAAGTCCGACCCGAATTTAGCTCTGGTCATTACACTCGCTTTCTTACTAGATTCGGGTCATTCCCCCCTCTCTCTTCCGTTAAATTCAATTCAAACCTTCTTCCATCTCTCGCCAACGGCTACTTCTCTCTCTCTCTCTCTCTCTCTCTCTCAAAACCCTTGGCACAAATATTCATTCCCTTTCTACTGTAAAAATGAAGCATTTCATGATGCCAAGAAATCAAATCTTGAGAGAGAATTATGAGTCCGCTTCACCCACACCACCATCCGCATCTCCGAACCCTAAAAGTAAATTGATAGCAGCAGGGAGCCCTAGCAATCGGAGACACAAATCTTCGAAAGAAAATGCAGATCCGAACTCGATTATGTCACCTGCCACTGCCAAGATGAAGAGCCCGCTTCCTCCGCGGCCCACGCTCAAGCGGAAGCTCACTGTGGAGGCCGCAGTGGGATTAGAGAATAATACTGGGCCTGTGAATCCTGCCGATTCTGGTGTTAAGGTGAATATCTGGAGAAAAATTTGGTTTTAGTTGATCTTGGTTTTACTTCAAATTGCCTTGGTCATGAGGTTCATATTATTGTTGCCTTCGGCTTCAGCAATTGTACCGTTCAGATCTGTGTTGAAATTTTCAAATTTGCCATATTGTTTGGTAAAACCTGTAATCCTTCTGAATTCGCGTAATTTTCTGATTTTTTATTTTTTTCTACTAAGGAAGCCCCATTTTTTTAGAATCCCTCTTTGAATGTGATGTGACGTCTCCAGCATAAATGCCAGGAGCATTATAGTTGATATAGGATCTTCTCGAACAAAACTTGATTTTGCAAGTGGTATGGAATGGATGAAAAAAGTACTACTTGTGCTTTGATGATTGTATCGACTTAAATTTTCAGGTTGCTGTCTCTTTGGGTTCTGTGCAGCAGAATTTTTGTTGAGCTAGAAAATTTGAGAGCTTACACTCTATTTTTGAGGAAACCAAGTTACTACTGGGTTACATAATTGAATTCTTCTAGTTAATGCTTCTTAGAGTGAAATGGTAATACGAATGGATAGACCTGCATTGCTTCTTAGAGTGAAATGGGATAATTTCATCTTTATGTTGGTTGCAATTATCTTTCTGGAAATTCACTTGAACTTTCCTGTAACCCCTTTGTTTTGACCGTAGATTTTGTGAAGATTTGTTTTGGTCAATGAAAAATGTTTACGACGTGAACAGGTGATTCAATTATGCTCGGTCTGTGTGGTGTTTTAACTTTGTTTGTGACTATATACCCAGGTAATAGTGCGCATCAGACCACCAAACAAGGTTGGGGAAGATGGAGGGTCAGTAGTTCAGAAATTATCAAATGATTCCTTGTCAATAGCAGGGCAAACCTTTACATTTGACTCAGTTGCGGACATTGAGTCAACACAGGCAAGATTCTACTGTTTTATAATTATAATGTGTATGCAAATTGATAACCGAAATATAATAAACAAGATAGCAAAACTTGATCTGGAATGTTATCTATTTCAGATTGATATATTCCATCTCATAGGTGCACCCCTCATTGAAAATTGTCTAGCTGGATTTAACAGCTCAGTGTTTGCCTACGGCCAGGTATTTTTGTTTCCATCTATGAATTGTACAGCATGAGTTAGGTAGTTGTTTTATTTTATCCATTGAAACAAGCGCATGCATGCAATTGACTGTTACAATAAAATGTAATTTCTCTACTAAGGATGACATGTTTGCATATAATTGATCAGACGGGGAGTGGAAAAACCTATACTATCTGGGGTGCATCCAATGCCTTATTGGAAGAACATGATCAACAAGGCTTAATACCTCGAGTTTGCCAGCGATTATTTGAGCGCGTTAATGAGGTCTTTTTATTTAATTATTGATTTTTTTCTACATGATTCTTATCACTCGTCTTGAAATTCAATTATAGATTCTTACTTTGTGGGATTTCTATTGTCCTTGTAGGAACAAGAGAAGCATGCTGATAAACAGCTTGTATATATGTGTCGATGCTCTTTCCTTGAGGTACTTGGCTCTGATATCTTTCGTGCTCTAAGGAAAATATGATTTAATTAACTCTCCTCTGAATCCTGTGAATGGCATATTTACAGATTTACAATGAGCAAATTACTGATTTGTTGGATCCAAATCAAAAAAATCTCCAGGTAAAAAACGACAATATGTACTTCAGTGGAGATTGAATTGAATTGGTGCCTGACATTATCTTATTGGAATATCTTTCTTTTTATTCAATTTTTCTCATACAGATAAGAGAAGACATCAAAAGTGGTGTTTATGTCGAAAATTTGACGGAGGAGTGTGTTTCCTCAATGGAGGATGTGTCGCAACTTCTGATAAAGGTTTGTTCTTCTTTTGTGCTTTGTTAATGTTCAAAGTAGTACGCTTTCATTCTTGATTATTATTCTATGGCCCTGTTTAAGCCTCATTTTGGGGGGAAAATAGGTTTTGGAATAATAATTTTTTAGAGGATGTGTGGTTAAAAAAGAAGGGAAAAGTTTTATGTTTACGTGTAAAATTATTTTATGGGAGAATATGTGGTTGAAAATGAGTTTTGGGAAAAATGGAGCCCAAACATAGGCTATAATTTATGGCACTTAAATTACAGATTCTTTTTATTCGAAAGAAAAAAATGTGTAGGACTATACTCTCGCACCTTGAGATTAGTTTTTTGGGTAGGTGAGGTTAAATTTTGATTGACATAATCTTTCTGTTCAAAGGACCGATAATTGCACAGGTCTATCCTTGGTACCATTTAGCCTCACATTTATTGATTGTATCTTGAAACCATTTAGCCTCACGTATATTGATTGTATCTCGAAACAAATTTAATTATGATACAGGAAACTTATCAACTAGCTCTATATTTTGAAATGAGATTGATTAATTTTAATCATATCTATCTTTTACCTTTTCTCTTTCCATTCAACTTAAAGAGATATAAATGCTCTAGAGAAGAGAGGCTGATTCTTCAGTTTATCCAAAGTCCTATCCCTCAACTAGCATTAAGAGTCTAAGACCAGTTTAAGCATTGCAAACTACATTTATAGATCGGTTATTGGCATATTCCATTCGAACGTGAGGACAAATACATATCCAACTCATTTTCCTAATACAATGCCATATTTGTGTGAATGGTCTATAATCTTTAAGCTTGTTTGGAGAAATTTATAAATTGATGAAAAGGAGTAGTGTAGATCTCGTGAGTCCTACATAATATGTGGATAATAAGTGGGTAGTAGCTGTGAGTCTTATAAAATGTGTAGTTAAAATTGATTCAATTTATAAATTTCTCCAAACAAGCTTTTTAGCCTTAAGTTGCAATCGAGAAGTGAAGGTTGGGCAGCTGTGTTATGTTGTTTTTCACTTTAGTTTTAGGTAGTCATCTTTCTCGAGATGTTGGCTAATATGTCAATTTCTTATAGCTTTTGGACATTATACGTATTAATGCTGCATAAATTGTACAGGGATTGTCAAACCGGAGAACTGGCTCAACAAGCGTAAATGCCGAAAGTTCTCGTTCCCACAGTGTTTTCACTTGTGTTGTTGAATCGCGCAGCAAGGTATTAGAATCATTGATTAAGATTTAGTATGATCCAATCTCAGTCACTTCTTGAATTTTTCTGCACCTAGGTAAATAGAGAGCACAAGTTGGTGCTTGAATGCATCCTACTACTACATCAATTTGTTGTGTCATGCCTGGAGCTGTTGTGTGTGTTTTGTTGATTACTATCACATGCTACTTTTCAACCTTCTGTGCTAATGGCTCATTACCTAAATGTTAAATATCAGAGCATGGCTGATGGTGGGGTTAGCTGCTTGAAGATGAGTAAAATAAATTTTGTTGATCTGGCTGGATCTGAAAGACAAAAACAGACAGGTGCAGCTGGAGGCCGTTTGAAGGAAGCAGGGAATATTAACCGTTCGCTTTCGCAACTAGGGTATGTTTAAGATATTGTCACAAAAGTTTTCAACATCTTGTGACTTGATTTTTTGTTGCCTTCTTGGTGCTAGTGACCATTGGATTTATTATTTTAGCATTTTACTTTGGACTAGTGATACAAGAGAAAATGACTGTACTGATCTTATATTGATTCTACTGAAGAAAGAATTGCTGTTCTTAACTTCAATCTTGCCGTCAATAGGAATTTATACTTGAATTAAATTTAGTAGTTTGCGTTGTCATTCTGTCTAATTAAAATTTGTGATTACAATTCACAAATTATCTACCTTTATTTTTCTAAGATTGTGCGATTCTTTAAAGGTCTACGAGCTATGGAATCATTGTAATACATGAGAATGAAAATGGGAAACAAATCAGGCATTAAGAAAACAAATTTAGATGATATTTTTGTTTACTTATGCTATAGGGCGAACTTTTGCTTGCTCTCCTACACGACAAATAACCTGTTACCACTAGCAATTGATGCTAGAAGTGCTGCAAGATTTACTAGTCTTTGTAATTGGAATTGTTACCAGTGTGATTGTAAATTTTGTTACTGATACGGGGCCTGCTGTGTGGAGATTAGATGGTAGAATAGCAATCTTGTGTAATATGATTAAAATGTAGAAGATAAGTAGATAGGTTGTCTACAGTCAAAAGTTTTCTCTTCCTGATGTTTATGTCATGCTTTAAGTGAATGCTCTTTTTTTCTGAACGAGGATCACATGAAAACATGAGACCCATGGCAAAAGAGGATTGATGAAGTGGTAAGTGATCAGTTAGGTACAACTTTAATATTTGTTCTCTTTTTCTGAAAAAATTAGAAGAAAATTAACTGTAAGATAAGAGAAATATTTGTTGTTAATCAAAGCTGATGTTTTAGAGATTGTAATGTATGTGAAACATTTAAAGCTGCATATCCTTGATAAAGTGCTGACAATGGCATCTACCTGTAAAATAAGAGAAATATTTGTTGTTAACTCGGTTGTTTGACATTGCTCATCATGAATATAAAATTGTACATTTACTCATCATGAATATCAAATTATTAATGCATCTTTTGTCTTAAATTCGCACATCTTATGGAACACTTTTGGTGAGCCATTTCAAGATTAATTTCGTTTCTGATGTTCATTTTGGTTGTCGTTGACATATGCAGGAATTTAATTAACATTCTTGCAGAAGTTTCTCAAACAGGAAAGCAAAGGCACATCCCATACAGAGATTCCAAGTTGACATTTTTATTGCAGGAATCTCTTGGCGGGAATGCGAAACTGGCAATGATATGTGCGGTTTCTCCAGCTCAAAGGTAACCGTGGAAATCAGTTTTTATATATAATTTTAAAGATTTTATTTGTATTTCTTTTTTTCCATGTACTAAACATGCAATGTTTTCTGTAAAATATTTGCAGCTGCAAGAGTGAAACCCTGAGTACTCTGAGATTTGCTCAACGTGCAAAGGCAATAAAAAACAAGGCAGTTGTTAATGAAGAAATCCAAGAAGATGTAAACGTTTTGAGACAAGTGATACGACAGTTAAGGGTATATGAACTATTCATTTTATTGTGTGTTCATTAGTCACAATTGCTATTAATAGAGATTCAGGTGCACAATTATATTGGGAGGAAAGTTTGGAAAGAAATTTTTATTTTTTTCTCTCTTATTATTAAACAGGATGAACTGCATCGAATGAAGGCAAATGACAATCAAACAGGCCAAGTTGGAGCTTATTCCACAGGATGGAATGCCCGGAGAAGTTTGAATCTCCTGAAATTTAGCCTCAAGCAGCCAATGACGTTGCTCCACATCGATGATGATACTGATGAAGAAATGGAAATTGTTGAGGAAGAAACTGCTGGTGAGGATACAGATGTTAATATGGAAGATGAAGCATTCGAACGAGTGGATGAGGATAAAAATAATAACAACAATTGTCGGTTTACAGAAAGAAAGTCGGAGATAGCACTGCCCAATAGTGATTCTTGTGGACACGATACTCAGGGGGAGTGTGTTCCTTCAGTTCTTGAAAATTTTCCAAATGAAGATTGTGCAGTTCGTAATCACTGTACCATTCCAACTGACACATTGCCAGTTCTGAAGTCTCCAACGCCTAGTGTTTCACCAAGGCTGAGCAATAGCAGGAAAAGTTGTTTCACATCAACAGAACATTTGGCTGCTGCTCTTAACCATGGTCTCGATGTTATAGGGAGCCATCGTCATAGTGCAGCTTTAGGACGATCATCATTCAGATTTTCTTGCATACCATCTGGTGCTAAAGCAGTTATACCAGTTGTGAAAGTTGATGCAGGTGTTCAAACTCTTTGCAGTGATGATGAGTTATCAGAGAAGGATTCAAGAGAATTTTTGTGTAGTAGATGCAAGACTAGAAATTCTCAGCAAGAGCTTATAGAAGAAACTAATGTGCAAAATTTGCAGTTAGTGCCTGTCAACAGGTCACTATCGCATGAAAAATTGAAGAAAGTTCCCAAAGTATGTGCAGTGATCTTAACTGGATTTTTCTAGATACTTTTTCTTGCGCAATTCTTATCTATGTGAAATTCAATGTTGTTCAGGAAGTTGAAAAGGTATTGGCTGGAGCTATTCGGAGAGAGATGGCATTAGAAGAGATGTGTGCAAAGCAAACTTCTGTGATCATGCAACTTAATCGTTTGGTAGGTTCATAAAACAAGCAATTGCTCATTAAAATGGCAGTTAATTTTTTTATGACCGACTTCTCTGATCATGAATAACAGGTCCAGCAGTACAGGCACGAGAGAGAATGTAATGCGATAATTGGTCAAACTCGTGAAGATAAAATTGCTCGCCTTGAGAGCCTGATGGATGGAATCCTACCAACTGAAGAGTTTATGGAGCATGAACTATTATCACTGACTCATGAGCATAAGGTGGTACACTGATTTATCTCTCTAAATGTTGACTGGCATTGTATAGATATTTTCCCCTCTAATCACAATGTCTTATATTTACAGATTCTTCAGGAAAAATATGATAATCATCCCGAAATTTTGAGAACAAAGATCGAGTTACAAAGAGTTCAAAATGAACTGGAAAGATATAAGAATTTCTTTGAACTGGGTGAAAGGGATGTCTTGATGGAAGAAATTCAAGACCTGAAAGACCAGCTGCAGTTGTACCTGAATTCTTCATCCAAGACATCAAAAGGACCAGCTCCTCTTCTTTGTTTAACATATTCTTGTGAGCCCAGTGTGGCTCTACCTTTGTCCTCTGCTCCAGAGGCAACTGAAGTGAGTGCTGAGGAGATACTGCAGAAGGAGAGAAATCAGTGGACTGAAACTGAGGGCAAGTGGATTTCTCTTGTAGAAGAACTCAGGTTGGAGCTGGAATCTGGCAGATCACTTATACAAAAGCAAAAGCAGGAACTGGATACGGAAAAGAAATGTTCCGAAGAGTTAAAAGAAGCAATGCAAATGGCAATGGAAGGCCATGCCCGCATGCTTGAACAGTATGCTGATCTTGAAGTTAAACACATTCAACTGCTTGCACGACAACGTAAGATTAGAGAAGGAATCGATGATGTGAAGAAAGCAGCTGCTAAGGCTGGGGTTAGAGGTGCCGAATCTAAATTTATCAATGCCCTTGCGGCTGAAATTTCAGCGCTGAAAGTTGAACAAGAGAAGGAGAGGAGATATTTTAGAGATGAAAATAAAGGGCTTCAGGCTCAATTGAGGGATACAGCTGAGGCTGTTCAGGCGGCCAGCGAATTAGTTGTGCGGCTTAAAGAAGCAGAAGAAGCTATTGCTGCAGCAGAGGTGAGTTTGGAATTCCGCACTGACGTGTACTCTTGTTCTTTCTTGTTCCTTTATATTGTTGTTCTGATTTAGGTGAGGCCTTTTTACCTGCTTTTTGCATAGCTCATGTGATACTCTTGTTTGCATCTTGTGATTATTTTTCTTTGGTGTGCGAAATGATTAACCTCTTTCTTTGGATTGAAGAAAGCTTTTAGTTTTATGCTTTTGGCCAATATATGGTTTCAAGTCACTCTGGATGTGGGCTATCAAGGTTAAGATTGTAGAATTCAGAGCTCTACATTGTGGAGGCACAAGCTCCACCTATCAAGAAATACGCAAGTGGTTTTTTTATTGATGGAAAAGTTCGGAATTTGGGTGTTGTACTCTGATGAGATAGTGATTTTGTTATCCGTACTTTGCTAAATATTCTCTTAGGATTAAATCGGAAATCACACCTTACTGGTAACAAGGATCTAATACTCAATGAATAGTCATGTCATCTGGAGTCGAAGTTCATAAGTCTTAGTAGTTTGTTGGATTAGAGAAGAACTCTCAATGAATTAGTTGCTACTTCTTTCTGTGTTAGCAAAATGAACTAACATCTTATAATTGCCAGTGCTGGAAAATGGGTACTTCAGTTCAGAAATGCATGTAAAGCATTTCCTAGACTCAATTTGATTAAATTTTTTTATGTAATTAGATTATTGTTTCGAAAAGACTACTTCCGATGATTCATTTTTCCAGGTTTGAATTGAATGAATATTCAATCATTTTGGATCCCATTGTTTGAATATCTCTCATCATCTGGATTTGTCGATCTCTTGGCACGTGTACCTTTAATTAATGCATTTTGTTGAGTGTTACATGAGAGATGTAAGTGGTTTGTTTGATTAGAGGAATTCCATAGTATCTTGGTTCATTTTGGGTGCTGAGAAATCTGTGCAACCTTCTGCAGTTACTGTTTTTCAAAAGACGAACTTTTGTATTTAATTTATGCAAATTTCGTTTCCACACTAGCTGAAAGAACTACATATATTTCATAAATTTGCAGAACCGGGCTATAGTGGCAGAGGGAAAGGCTGAAAAGGCCTACAAGGAGAGAGACAGGTTGAGTCGGTTGCTTGCAGCAGACACTAGAAAGCTAAATGAGGGATTTGCTGCTGAGGAGGGTAGGCATGTTGATGATGGTAATCAGCAATGGCAAGAAGAATTTGCACCCTCTTATGATATCGAAGAAGATCCTTCATGGTTTGCTGGATATGACCGTTGCAACATATAGATACAAACTCTCAGCTGGTTTGTTGCATTTTAGCACGAGTCATTGTTGTATGTTACAAACAGATTTCACATATAGCCAAGTATACTTCTTTCTCATCTTCCAATGATATAAACGATTGCACCAATTGTCTGAGGAGGTGATAATGTTCATTTTGTATTTAATTTGAGCTTACATTAGCCTCCATCATCTTTTACATCCTCAAATTGATTAACTACTGATATGTTTGGATTATCGGTTTTGGGTTAAACTAATCATATTACCTGTCATTTACGTAGCGGGAAAGCCTAGAGATCATAAGAAGGGATGTGAACGGAGGCATTCCAGCTCAGTTTACTCTTAACACGAGCACCAGCACCCGCACACCACATGCATTGTTTGGAATGCTGTAGATAAGGTGGACCCAACATTGAGACAGTGAGATGTGGAAAGATCTAGGAAACCCACATTGATGTTACTAGCTCAAGATCATTTATTAGTTCTGTTGGGGTGGTGTCAAGAGGATGGGGGGCATTCTTCTAGTGGGCTTATGCAGTTTGTTATTGTGAATTTTGAAAAATAAGCTAATAGCAGAAGGCTGGCCACAAGTGCTTAAATTTGGCAGCCTTGAGGTTTCCAAGCGTATATAATCTCATGGAGACCATGAAACAGGTAGCTTGTGACATTGTCTTCTCTGACTTAACTATGAACCTTTAAAGCAGAAGCATATTATATATTTTAAAAAAGTGAAGACAGAATAGAACCTTAGTAGGCTCCAAATTCCAAATTCCTCTCATTCATTGGCCATTAAAAATGTGAAAAATATCCATTTTTTATTTAATTTTGGAAGACCAGAAAACGAGCTATTGTATGTCACAATTCCAATGGGGTTATGGGGGTATGGGTGTAAAAGACTAAAAGCGACATGTAGATGTCACAAGGCCACAGATTTAAGAATTAAGAAACTCAATAAAAAAAATGGGGAATATTTTTTTTGTTAAAATCATGAAGTCTAAGTCATGTAAAGATTCTTTTGGAGGTAATTTATAATCACTCTAAAAACACTATCAAATGCATGTTTTTAGGAAGTTTTATCCTAAAAATAATTGTCATTTTTCCTTGAATGGTCTCACGCGTCACAATTTCATAGATATCGACAGTGAGACTCGAATCTAAAACACATATTACTATGTTAAATTTTATTATTTAAAATTTTTAAGTTGTTAATTGAAAAAACATATTTATCATTCAAATTCTTATCTTTAGGGACAATTACTTGACAAATCCTTCAACATTTCTTCGACTTTTAGTCAACAATAATAAGAACCTAAAATTTGTTACCAACTATAAGACATGTTAACTTTGGTATACCATACTGTCTTTATTCTGGCGCAATCACATTGCTTTTATAAATGGAAGTCCCCCTTAGCCTTAAGCCAATGAAAACATGACCTAACCACGACTCTCCTACAATCGACACCTTCTCTACTTGTTGACACTATTACTAAACTTCTTGTTGACTTTCAAGATAGAGGTGCAAATTATGCATGAACTTGATGATTTGTTTGGTAAACAAAATGATAATTTTAAATACAATGTCCCNATTAACCCCACAAAACAAACATATTACATCAATATGATTTGATCATTGTGGACCCTTTTTTCGTTATGTCCGGAGTAATTCATGGAAAAATATGATTGGTTTCTTACTGTCTGCAGTCAAAATGCATTATTTTACCCCTACCAAGTTGACTTTATATTAGGACAAATCTTCTTTGATTAGGTTTCATTGTAAGAATCTCCTGTGAGTGTTGAAAAACTTCATTATTTTGGTTTAATTATTAAGGCAAAGAAAGAATATTTTGAACAAGGTGAGAGCATGTTTTCCTAAGCATATAAAGGAATAAAAGTTACTTTTAATTTTAATTTTTAAATAAATTATTTTTTTTCTTACTTTTTAGTACAAAAATGATTTATCATAATAAAAAAAATTATCTTACAATTAAAATAAGTATACTTGTTTGCAACTCATACTATTGTATTTTAGTTTAATTATTAAAGCAAAATAATAATATTTGGACAAGGTTTAATTTATTGTTGTTTGTGAGCTCGAAATTCAAGTTTGGAAACGATAATGAATTATAAAACATATTCGTTAAACAGAACCTATATATGTTAAACTGCGTTCAAATCAAATTCATTTTCATTAAAGGTGGTTCATACTTAGGTCGTTTGTACATCATCTAACAAATTAAGTTATTAACATATTTTAGGATGATTCTATAATGATTAGTTTATTATTATATCATTTTGTATCTAGCACTCATAAAAAGAAAATAGGAGTGAATATAAGCTATATTTTTAAGTGAGTTTAATCTTTTTAAGACACGATGCATCCAATATTGACCAGAAAGGATATAGTACTATATGAGCCCGAGATGACATCAAAATAGAAAGCGAGTGTATGGTACAGTAGAAAAAATAACAATCAAGAGAAAATACACTAATTTGGGTGGAAATTTTTGAAAATCCTCTGCATTGTGAAGTAAGATGAGATTGCTAAAATTCTATTAAAAAGAAAAAAAATAACAAGATGAGATTGCAGATTTCTTTTGTTAGAGTTGAGAAACTTGGGTTTTCTGATAGCCTTTAATGAAAAGGTTGTCTATCTAGGAATCTCTCTCTACAACTCCACTCCACTATTATTATTCTACTTATCCTTTCACCCTTCCTTTGTCATTTCTTTGTGAAGTGGATGGGATTTCATAATCTTTAATGTTGCCCAAAAATTTCCCAAAATTGAATTTTTTTTCACAAAATTTAAAAGAGAATGAACGGGGACGAAAAAATTTCACTAATATTAAAAGGGTTTAAAAATATTCTCGGTAATAGCTGCCAAAAGATAATCCATGTCTATGTCATTCATCGGGATCAAACATACTAAGTATGAAGAGTACTCCTTTATGTGGAAGAACAAATGTGAAAATCCTTTGCTAATACCGAAGTGGTCCATGTGGAATCGTTATCAAAGATAATTTATATCGATATCACTATTCAGAAGAAAGCTAAAGCACAGAGTCTCCTTTATATTGGAATGCAAAAACAAAGATGATAACTAACTCTACTATCGTACGTGAGACATACAGAGCTACACATTTGAGCATGTTTGGCAGGTCTTAAATTTAGTTTTTTTTTTTTTTTCAAAGTAAGCCAAACATGCTTTTAAATAATATTAAGAACTTCACTATTGCAAACCTGTGATCCCAAGCTTCCCTTTTACTCATATAAATTTCTAGAAGGGACCATGAGAAAGTCCTTGTTTTCATTACCTAAATACTATTTGTACAGTAAATTGGAGGTTTTATTTTTATTTTTTTTTCAAAGTGACTTTTGGATTCCAGCTAATCTTCTGTATATAATTCTTCTTAATTCTTAATCAACCAGATGAATTTTTGGGCCAATTTGTCCCCACCAACAGCTGGTTACAGATAAGAGTCCAATCCTCTGCAAGTCACTTGATTTATGGTTAAAATGTTCTTATTAAAAGGTCCCACGATCAAATTCTTCCCTGAAAATGACATTTGTGAAAGAAATTTGATTTTGTAGCCACTAACTAGTAATTAATTTTTTGATGGCTCCGAGTTTGATTATATCGTATAGTTACGACCTTAATTACGAGCGAGTGTGATGAAAAATTTGTATTCGTCTTATGGTGAAAATCCGCGGCGACAAGTAAACATAGCTCTCATGTTGAATGTTAAACCAATATTTTAAAAGTCGGTCCAAGTATCAACATGAAAAACTCAAAAGATCAATGGCCAAAAGGTTGAACCGTGGTAAAAATAATTAAATAAACAAAAATTTCTTGTTTTTCCTCTTTTCTAAGAGAAGAATCATATAACGTGTAAAATCAGTTATGATGGCCCGTTCTACTTCTTATCTAGAGAGGGGGCGTCGAAATCCCTTCCATTGGTTCGTGCCCGTCCAATCTATTAGTTAACAAGCACATCCCCAGCTTTTTATACGATTTATTACACATAAATAGATCAAATTTATAACCGATTCCTCGTTCTTCCGGTCAAACCAACCAGTCTAGCATGGTTCTTATAACATTGGTGTAACAGATGGTTGGAGCAAAAGTCACACACAAAAAAATGAATGGAAGAACATAAGATTAATTCTGAATATTTTTAAGGAAATATATAGAAACAAGGTTGAAATAATAGGTTACACCGTTACATGAGAAATTTCTGTCTCATCAAACAAACTTTTTACCTTGCCAAAGAAAAACATGTTACATTGACCTTCAGAGTCATTTAACACCATCTGGTGCAATATATTAGTTCTTGATTCTACAATGGGAAGGGTAAAATTCTCCAAAAGAATCATTTGCCAAGATGATTATCAAATGCATAATGATAGTCGAAGAGAATGTTCTCATTCTTGGTTTCGACCATCAAATCTTTTCGAACTACAAGTTCTCAGTATATACAGAAGCCTCTCTCACTTGGGGCCTCAAATAAATATAGTTAACGACGCTGACAAATGTTGATCATTGCTCAACTTTCATTTGAGCTGTGGGGAGAATCCCTGCAAAGAATAAGATATCGTATTCTCAATATATCCTTATGTGTAAAATACACTTCTGATCTATTATTCGTGCGATAGATGCTAACCGTGAAAACTTTGTGTCTCATTTTGGCCAAATCCCATCTGAACAAGGCTATGGAGATCATCCTCCCAGAACGTTGAAACCTATAAAATGAGCCGATCAGCATTCTTAAGTAATCGGATAAAAAATGAATTGAATATCCTCACTTAATCCGAGTCATTTATTTACCTGAGAAACAGGTTCACTGGCATTGTTCAGAGGAGGCATTTGAAAGCTTTGATTTCGACTAATAGGAGTATTTTGGAAGGGCATTTCTGTTCCATTAGGAATGACATTATGCAAGTTTTGTCCTGGTTGAGATTGGAAAGGATATGCATCTGATGTATATAAGTTATGAAGCAAAGATCCACGGGAACCAAACATCTGAAATGGAGGAAGAATGTAAGATCATTAACTACAGGGAAATTCAAGAGGTGTTCTTGAACTCGAAAATAAAAGACGAAATGTTTCTTACATCCTTGGACATTAGAGCTTCCACGTTGAACTCCATCCTCGGATTAATAGTAGCCAATTTCATCGAAAGGAACTACGTGTTTAAACAAGTAAAAACATCAGCGAACTTTCTAAATAGCAAGTGAAATGTGAAACAAACTCGGGAGGAATCTTTATACCTCAACTTGTCGTTGTAAAGACTGGACGTAGTTTATGATCTCATCAAGCATTACAGCCTTTCCAGTCACCTAAGAATAACAGAAAAAGAACCGCATATGCTTAGAATTCAGCACATTTTTCTTGTTAAAGTCATGAACATTTCGTTTCCAAAACGCTACTTCTAATTGGCATTTCATCGAATACCTTATTGCAACCAGGGACGAGATCTTGTAGGACCTTCATCCTTTCACTAATTTTCTCTCGTCGAACCTGCCAAAATGAAGATTGTTAAAAGGATATGATAATCGTTAATCGGAATCTTTAACAGTGAAATTTCTGTAAATTCTTACTCTTTCTGCAAGACTATGGGCATCTGTAGCCTGTCCCCTTCTAGCCCTAACATGAATATAGTCCTTTGGAGGCTCTGGAGGCTTTGCATTTTCCTTTGATTGTTTCTGATTTCCATCTCCAATGGCTTTATCAAATTCATTTACATCTGAATTTTTTGCAATACCCTTTTCAATAGAACCTTCATCATCTGACTTGCTTCTTTTTGAACTTGATTCGCTGTTTTCTGATGCAACCTGCATTGAATTAATCAAATGTGTTACTACTTTGATTTCGGAAATCAGGGATTCAAAACCCTCAAATGCTTGAAGAGAAATTAGCTTACATTGGTATCTTTGGCAGGGATTTCTTTAGCCTTTCCCCTTGGAACTGATTTCCTCTTTCTTGAATTTGAAATATTTTGTGCTTTGATGCCATTTCCCCCAACTGGGATCTGCTCAGAAACTGAAGAATTCTCCCTGGAATCCCCAAGTTCTGTTTTTTCAGGGGTTGAAGATTTCGAAAACCTGCCAAATCTTCTATCAGAGGCTGAAATTCCTTCCTGAAGCGGAGCATTCTTGTTTTCTTGAATCCCCATTTGGGGAGATCCAGAAATTTTGAAGGACTGATTACTCGAAACTCTCGAGAGATTGCCAGAGTCCAGTTTAGGCACCAATCTATGAGGCAATTCAGAATCATTATTCAACCCAACTTTCGCAAAACAAGAAAATCTTGCAGCCCTTTCCGCGAATCCGGGGTCAGTCGAAAATGGTGCAAAGCTTGGAAAGTGATTTCCAGGGATTTGAAAATTCCCCCGGATTTGATTATCCATCATTGACAGATTAACCTTTGGAGGAGAATTCAGTGGGGTACTATAGCATGAAGTATTAGTACTTCTATTTCCAGGCTGAGGGGAAATTTCCCCTGAATTGCATATGCTTCCTAGTCTACCAATCAGTTCTCTTATCACAATATTCTCTCCACCATTTTTGCCAGAGGCAGGAGCATTCGAAGCAACAGGAGAAGAAACCATTGAGCTCAATGCAGACTCAAATGGATCATTTTGATCCATTGAATTTTCCCAGAAAAAATTCTGAAACTGTTCTGACCCACAATTCAGAAACATATTTTCCTTTTCCATTTTACACAGTACGAAGAAAGAATCGGTAAAGTTCACTACTTTTGAAGCGAATAAGAAAACAAAAAGTGAGACACAAGCTGAACTTGGAAGGGGTAAAGGTGACAGAAGAGGGTTATGATGAAGCAGAGCGGAAAGGAAAAGGAGAGGAAAGTGAATAGGAAGAAAAGAAAAATGTCTGTTTGACCTGTTTTATAATAGTTGTGTGTGACAGTAATAATACACACAAATCAAAGTCCGTAATGTGCGGGTGGAGGGGGTGTAATGCCGGGCCTTAAACGTCAAACTATCTCATGTTTCTTTTTCATTTGGAGCAGTGGAAATAAATGTACACAAGTATATTCTGTATGTAGGCAATGAAGCTTCCTCGTGGTGGCGGTGATGGCGGTGGTTGTGGTGGGTGGCTTTGCTTCCACTGGAACGCAACTCTGTACTGTAACACAGGTAACGTTTGTCCTGTGGTGGATACATCAATGATTAATGCACAGTTAAAAATGGTGGCCAAGGTATACACTATTGGCTAAATGTTACTTTCCATATTACTGTGTATTTTTGTGTTTATACATATATGGGTAAATTTCTCCGGGACCCCAACTTTTAGTTAGTGTGACAGTAATGTCCTAACTTTTTAAAGTAATGCCGCACAGTATCTTTACTCGATGGAAAACATCTATTTAGTCGTTAAGAAACAAACTAGTCCACAACACGCAACTAAGAACAATTAGCATTTAAACTGTTACCATTTGATTTTTAGATTGTAGAGAAAAAATTTAACACGTGTTTGCCAGCATTTAAACTAGTCCACAACACGCAACTAAGAACAATTAGCATTTAAACTGTTACCATTTGGTTTTTCGATTGTAGAGAAAAAATTTAACATGTGCTTGTTAGAAACTCAAAGTCGGCATTAAATTTTAAACATATATTTTATGAGACCCACAACTTTTCAACAATACTTTATCAACTTCTATTAAAATCTACTGACAATTTGATTTTAAAACCTAACAAACAGGGTGTTAGACAGTTTTACCTTTTTAGTAAGATATTCGATACGTGTCGCGTGGACATTTGACCTCTAAATAAAAAAAATTGTTAGATAGGGATGCCATGCACATAGTGTCAAAAGGTTGAGGACCCATTGAGAAATTTACCCTATACACACATGTATAGAGAGAAGAATGGGTGGGTGGGGTGGCATAGGGGGTAGGGGTGAGTTTTTTTATGGGTTAGGTGATAATGTGGAGTGCACATAAAGAAGTCATTTTCTTGTTTTTTATATTTACCTTGTTTGTTTTTACTGCCTGTAGTGTGGTGTTACTTTTTCTGAAGATTTTTTAAAAACAAAAAGACAAATTAGATGGGTATTTTTCAGTGGAGTGATGAGAAAAGGGAATCTATAGGGACTTGGATTGACCCACAAAAATTTGATTCTCCCCATTAAGAAAAAAAATGATCTTATAATAGATATTTGATAATCATGAAGTTGGAAGGAATCTTGTTTGATTTAGATTTTTACTTTTTTTTACAAAGTCAATTTTTCTTAAACTTATTTTTAATTGTACATTCTTCGTATAAAATCAATTTATACGTAAATTTATAAGTTTTCCCTACTTTTTAACCACACATTCTCTAAAAATCAGTTTATACAATCAATTCTAAAAAATAAAAATCAAACAAGGACTTATTTTTTATGAATCTTAGCTTTAATCACCTCTTTGTTTTTTAAGGATGAAAATGTTTTCAATTGTTTAATATTCGATAGACTAAAGAAATAGATTGATGAAAAGATTTTCTTGATCAAGAAAAATATGTCATTTGAAGGGAAAATGCTATCATTTTACACGTAGAACTCCAATTACACAATTAAGTTATACTAGATGTTAGGATCCGTTTGATATATAATGGTGGAAATGAATTTCAATTCCATGTTAGTTGGAAAATAAAAACTCACCAAACCTATAGAAATTCGTTTTCCATAAAAATAAAGAAAAGACTGCTTAAAGTGGTTGTACCTTGGAATTCGATTTCCATTTCCACATTGCAATCAAACGGCTAAAGTGGAATTCGTTTTCCTCGGATGCGACATTTTCCATGGAATTCGTTGCAATCAAACAGGGACTTAGTATGACTTGACGATAGTAAATAAAGTAAAAACGTAAAATATAGTTTGATGACTAAATTGAATCATCTTTTAAAAATTATTGACCAAATTGAAACAAAAGTATAATTAGCATGTCATTGATGATTATGTACGATTTCGATCTAATATTAATGATGATTAACTAGTAGTTGATGACNCCATTCTTTTTTTCATTCTCATTCTTCTACTAATTTTCAACCACACATTCATCAATAAAATAATATTTTCCATCACATCAATAACTTTTCCTTCATTTTCAACCACAAAAAAGGTGTGATTTGACACAAAGAATGCATTTTTTTCTAGAATAATGGTTACCAAACGGTGCCTCAATTCTAAAAAATAAAAATCAAACAAGGACTTATTTTTTATGAATCTTAGCTTTAATCACCTCTTTGTTTTTTAAGGATGAAAATGTTTTCAATTGTTTAATATTCGATAGACTAAAGAAATAGATTGATGAAAAGATTTTCTTGATCAAGAAAAATATGTCATTTGAAGGGAAAATGTTATCATTTTATACGTAGAACCCCAATTACACAATTAAGTTATACTAGATGTTAGTATGACTTGACGATAGTAAATAAAGTAAAAACGTAAAATATAGTTTGATGACTAAATTGAATCATCTTTTAAAAATTATTGACCAAATTGAAACAAAAGTATAATTAGCATGTCATTGATGATTATGTACGATTTCGATCTAATATTAATGATGATTAACTACTAGTTGATGACTATATTGCAATCATTAACAATTAGTAATTGATATTTGCTAACTATTGATCAATTCTTAATTAAAAGCGTATTATTATCGATCAATATCCTGATCGTGTTGTCATTGATGATCACCAATCAGCCATCTATATATACAAACGCTTACTACTCATCAAATATTGTGAAATATTCAAGAAATATCATGAATTTGCACATGGAAATCGTCAACCCTAGTAAATTTTATTGCCCGAAGTAAATTATATATGTACGTGTGATTAAAAAAAAAAAATTTAAAAACATGGACCGGATTTTGGATTTGGATGGGACTGATCCAACCCATTAACAAAACGAAAACTGATATAAGATGGCATTAACAATTCTCCACAATGGTCATTAACGTAAGAGTTACTTGATATGCACCCCAAGTAGAGCACCATATGATAGGTCACCTACTACTATAAAGAAGTCAACTCCAGTGGGGCCGTCTACCACCATGAGGCCCTTACATTCACATATGTCATCTACCATTGCGAGGCCGTCGACCCCAATGATAGGTCGCCTACTACTATAAAGAAGTCGACCCCCATGGAACCGCTTACCACCATGAAACCGTCTACATTCACATATGTCGTCTACCACTATGAGGTCGTCGACCTCCATGAGGCCCTCACATTCACATTTGTCGTCTACCACTATGAGGCCGTCGACCTCCATGAGGTCCTCACATTCACATAGGCCGTCTACCACTATGAGGTCGTCGACCCCCATGAGATCCTCTACGTTCACATAGGCCGTCTACCACCATAAGGCTGCCTACCACCACACTACCATGAGGCCCTCTACGTTCATATAGGCCGTCTACCATTATGAGACCGTCGATCCCCATGAGGCCCTCTACGTTCACATAGGCCGCTTACCACTATGAGGCCAATGCTACACTTAACCATACAAATGGCAATGGGTTGGACGAAAACCACCCAACAGCGAACATGGGTACAACCAACCACTTGAAGAGTGAGGGTCACTCTACCAGAACTTGGGAAAGTGGAGAGGTTTACGTGGGACACGTGGTACTAGCAAAAATGCGCAGCAACAGGTGCCTATAAATACCTCCAAGGTGAGAAATGTAGCTTCTTTTTGAAACCCAAATTATTTGAATTCTCATATTCACTCTGCTTACTTCCTAAAAACAAACCATTGATTCTCACGTCGAAGGTACAATGGAGGAAAAAGCCCCGACCTCATTTTGCAGGTAGCGTACACTAATCGGAGTGCTCAGAACACCGCACCCATTAAGGTGATCACGAAGGATAATCTCCCAATTATTTCAAGGACCAATTTTAAACATTCAACAAATTTGTGCCCGAGGATATCTTTCAATAACGGCAAAATAAAAAGAGGAAATCACATAAAACCAAACATTTAAGTCTACAAAATCAAAAATCAGATCTAAACTTTATTTAATCAAAAATCGGGTATTACGTAATAATTATATATTAAGGGCCCGTTTGGTACCGATTAAAATCCAATTAAAATTGAAAATATAGCAATTATTGGGCCCCACTCGTCTAATAAAAGTCAACAATAATGGCTAGTTTTTCAATTTTAATCCGATTTTAATCTCTATCAAACGGGCTCTAAATGTTTTCACCAAATTCAATCGCAAACCCTAATTTTATTTCCTTGTTCTCACTCTCCCTCCCCATCTTTTTCATCTCCTTCTCATGCCTTTCTCTCTATCAGACGCCACCACCGCGGAGCACCCGCCGCAGGAACCACACCAACACCACCACTTAAACAGCACAGCGCTGCTTAATGAAGAGATCAGAGTCTTTGCGCATGGAAGTGCAAGGGTGGTTTGAAATCTTCTCCGATTTGTGTCGTTTTTCCAAAGATTTTCTGTGGCCCGTGATTTGCACGGTAGCGGGGGTGATACGGCTTGGAGATGACGACACTGTGAACGTCGCTGCCCATGGCTCTGCTTGATTTTTTTTTTTTTCGTTGGATGGTGTTTTATGTGGAGGTGGGATGTGTTTGTGTGGTGGCGGACTTGATGATTTTGTTGGTGGGGTGGTGGCTTAGCTGGCGGCGGCGACGAGGTTGGAGGTGGTGGAGGGTGGTAGTTGTGGTG